CGAATTTTCATTCACGGGTCTAACAAGCCTCGAACTGCGTGGGTGTGTCAACAAGTAATACCACTCGCGTAGCATGCCACTAACCTCCTAACATGTCCGTCGGATGTTCACTGATACGCAGTAAAGTTAGGTTTGGTCTAGTTGGTTTGAATTATATTACGGTTATGATTATAGCTGTGTTATTGATCAGGTTAGTCTAGCTCCCAGATATAAATGTACAGAGTTCTGCTTCTTCGTCCACTCGTGAGTTTATCCTACCGAGGAATATACGCGGCGTCGTTCACTATTATTTCACCGACTGAAGTTGGCTCCACCATAGAAATCGAAATAGACGGGCTAACTTCAGCTGGCATAATAATATTGAATACGAGTATATGCGTGCCGCCGAAGTCGTTGAAAGCTTGTATAAAAAAACATAGACTCCGCAACGGCTGGTTACATCATCCGCGTCAACTGTAATCCTGCTATTATAAAATAACACCAGTCCACAATTTTGCACATACCTCGATCGAGACGATGGGACAAGTATGAAATGAAACGAGAAACATTAGATTAAGCAACAAATAAGTTTCTCGACGTAGATGCGTATCTACGGACTGTAGCAGAGCCATTCGTGTATAACCTCAAATTATTTTGATGCGCTTAAGCGGGCTATCGAAAGCAACGAGGCTATATGCTTTCCGATTTGAAACAGTATAGTTGGTATCACGAAAAAGAGATAGACACACAGAGATGTGTTGTAGGCCAAACACGCTACGCTACCGAACGCAGCGCCACTTCACGTGGAAGGAACGAAACGTCTTTTGTTGACAAAGCGTGCACGTCCGTACCCCCGTCCATGTGTCGAAGAGCAAGAGAGAGGGAGACAGGGTAAGAAATAGATAGACCTACATACAAAAGTATAGTGAACGAGAGTAAGGGAGACAGAATAACTGGTTCTTACTTTTTTCTTTAGAGAGAGGTAGAAAACGTCGGAGGATTAGGTACAGTACAGGATCGGTAGTTACTTGATGCTTGACTCTCAAGAATAGAGTATATCGTAATATGAAAATCAGCAAAATTTTTTTTTATACGCGATAATAAAAAAAATTGTTTTTTAATTTAATTCCCTATTATTAATTACATTAATCGCGGACCGTTTACGAAATTTTATAATCACGTGGTAGTTGATTAAATTTTAATAGGCCGTCACGGGAAAGCATGGAAGTCAGATAAAATATATTTGAGATGGGTCAGGGCCGGTGAGCCTCGAGAGGAAGAGCGTCTTAGGTTATAGCACGCAAAGCCTGCTGTGCACAGTGTAGATGTAAACGCTGTCGAGTTCAAAGCTGTCAGATAAATTATCTAATACTCGACTACCGCGACCGGTTTACCAGGGTGCTGGCTTTTCGGGATTCGAGAGTTTCCGCTCTAACGGGGTACGCCGATTGGTCATGCGCCGCTAATGGAGCGTTCCTATTGGCGCAGGCACCGCGAGAGAGCGTAGGAGAGATGATGAGAGATAGTCCTCCCGGCAACACCGCCACTCGACTACACAACGCGTATCGGATAGTGTTGAACTCTCCGAACCGGTTTTCTCGTTCTCTCATACTTAATGCATGCTCCTGCTCCTACTCCTTTTTTTTTTTAACTACCTAGACCCAACAAATAAGAGTTCCTGCCTCTCTCTCTCTCTCTCTCTCTCTCTCTCTCTCTCTCTCTCTCTCTCTCTCTCTCTCTCTCTTACACGACTCCTCCTTCTTTCACCTCTTTCACAGTCCTTCCTCAAAACGTTCTGCAATCCTTTTCGAATATTAGCTGTCTCTCTTTTACTCCGTCCTTTTCTCTGAGGTTCCTCTTCGCCCTTTGCCCTCGGTCCCCTCGTCCCTCCACTTCGTAGCGGGGCATCAACAAAATTTAGTATACAAATGACAAACGAACTACTCCCTAGTGTCTTGTCTGGAATAAAATTTGTTCGGGAATTGACCTGGACTCGTCACTAGGTCGGGATCAGCGAGATCAATTTCGAGATGGGCAATGAGAAAACCGCAATGAATAAATGCAGGTCTATATATAGAATTTTTTAAATTGTGCAAAAATTATTTTCATGCTTTCAATTTTTACCAGATTTTCGTCAGATTTTTATCTTTGTCGTGTTACGTCATATGTATTAGGGGCCTGTAATAGTTTTATTGACTATTATTCAAACTTTTTAAGAGATCGAATAATAATGACGCATCCTGGGGTATATGTTGGACACGCAACGGTAACGTAAATCTTAACTGAAGTAAATCTTATCTATGCATATACATATATGTAGAAATTCAGATATGTGCTTATACAGACAATCTGATGTATGACTGTCGATATCAGACTTTTGGATTTCGGTATAACAGTAAGCCATATGAAAAAAATTCCATACGTGTATTCGTGTCTACCGAAATCATAGTCTAATATCCGACAATGAAGTATGCTCGAAGTGTATAATGTAATTTTGAAATCAGAATTTTAAGATGGTTTGCTTCTATACTAATGGCAGAATGAAAATCAATATTAAATATCATCAGTTACTTACTGTTCGTTAAAATAAATAAACATAATTTTGGAAAATGTCTTTTTACCAACTTCAAAGTTTTGCCGAGATTTGACTATTATCTGGAACGAACCTCGTGCCAAAATCCTAACTCATCTGCATCTGACACACATTACTCGTCTAAGCCGATCAGCTGACATATCCCTATATATATGCCATAGGAGAGATTTAAATAACGTTTGCAAAAGAATTAATTCGAAATTGAAAAATCTGACGTTATCGATTCAGATTTAGGTAAGATTATTTTTGTGAAATTTCCACCTTTTTCGAAGATCGACATCACGTTGTAATCGCGTAGTTAATCTAGCCGTACTATGCATGCAAATTAAGTCGCTCTGAAATGTAGACGTGACTTCCGTTATACGATGAAACTTTGAAACATTGTATGTTATTAAATAATAACTGTATATCTGATTACGAACACAGATCGGTTCTGAGTAACTCTCTGATAAAATAATTGAGTCAATTATAAGTACGAATTTTTTTCTTAAAAAAAAAAAAAAATTATAGAAGACCTAATATTAATTTCTTTCTATATAAAAATTTCAACTATAAATACTGTTTTTGCAATATTTCACTTAGATCCTTCACTTAGCAACTGAATAATTGCAAAGAAGAATGGCGTCAAAATACCATTTGAAAATTTTTTTCATAACTCCAGCTTTCTCTCAAAAGATGATTCTGGATCGGTTGGACTGAGCGAAGACACATTTTTTTTTGGCAGGACGCCTAGTTTTAGGCTCGAGAAACGTCCACAATGTCAGTTACGCCTGAAATCAAGAAAAAGTCAGCAATGAGTTAAAACCGTCGCAGTGTTAACGACCTCAGATCGGTTTAAGAGCAGTGCCGATGAAAATTTAAAAGTCTAAAAAAAATGAAGTTTCATTCCTGCCGATACAAATGCGTATGCATCTTATTAAAATGTATCAAATTTGACCTACCGACCCTTCACGCCGTGTCATGTCAATGACCCCGCCAACAAGTTCCAACACAGTTGACTTTCGTCCTTCCAATACGTTTTTGCTCATTGCTTGCCGCCCGCTTGCAGTTCGCGACTCTACGGACTTTCTAGCGACTTGACGATCGTGACTTCGTAGAACTTCGGGTAGCTCCGTTAGATAAAACAGGGTCCGTCGTTTCAGAATAACAACAGTAACCTCGTTATTAGGAGCTACCACGGCAGAGAAAGACACTCGGACAAAGGCTTTGGGTAGGAATACATTTTTTCGAAAATTTAATTGAAATTATGTAACATAATTTTGAACAAACTTTCTACCAATTACAATGACCGTGCGAAACGTCCCATATATTATAATATTAATTTCCGATTTATACGACGAGTGCGATGGTGAAAAAATTATTGATGGAATTTTTTTTAATCTCAAAATATTTTCAAAAATAACAAATTTAACTATACCAATACATTTGACTATCTTTTTTCTCCCTCTATATTCTTTACTTTTGCTCCTTCAGACGAGACACTTCGTTACGACTCTTGTTCGCTACGTCACGTACAATAGTGGATCAAATCGGCAAAATTACTGTTATACAATGAACACGTGTTCGTTCGCGTTGCAAAAACCGCAAGGGGTTTAAGCAAATAGAATAACGAACGTAAAACGATCAAAAAGAAAAATCGATGACTACTTTTCTTATGACAGGCTAAAGTGGCCGATACCACTGGAGACATGTCTTACGTAAGAGAGTATCGTTATCTGCTTCTTTAAGAAAAATCCTAAGAGCTGGAAAGTATTGAAGTATAATAAAAAAAGTAATGAGGAAAAGATTTAAGAATGAGAACGTACCCATGCCTATCAAAGACCTCAAGATTACTGTTCAATTTTTATTCAACGTTACTTTTCGCTGTACTGGCAAAACCCACGTTTGGTCAGCTGTCGCCAGAACGTTCCTATGTCCTGTAGGTACAGATAGTGCTGCCACTGCAATATCTCGTAGTTTTTATCGCTAGCTGTGTAATCTTTAGTTTTTCATTTTCTTTCAACCAATATTCTCTTTTATTAAAAGTTTTATTATTTTCTATAAAAGTTTCCTTTATTTACAACCCTTACCTTTAGAGCTTATCTGAAGTTACTGTGGATAACGCCTTAATGCAATCTCTGATATCATAATTTCCATCCCCTTTGATTCACTATATCGATAGGTGACGTACGATTCTGTAAGCGAACATAAAAGTTTTTAATGAAATTCTTTTTTATTTATTCAACGTACTATTCAGCTCGCATATCCCGAGCGAAGTTAGTCCCTACATTTGTTTCATATTATAAAGCCAACTTCAAGTCGGTGAATTCAAACTGAATAAAATTTTATGATCGTGCAGTTAAAATTAACAAATATTAAATTAATTAATTTAACAAGTATTCTCAATTATCGACAAAATTCTTGTTGACAATTTTTATTCTATTTACAGATTGGACATAAAATATTCGGTAATGCCAGAACTTGTACGAGAAATAGAGAAGAAGCAGTACAACGGGCCAAAGAAGAAAGCAGACCGAAAGGTAGAAAAAGGAAACAAATAGAGAAGAATTAAAAAATAAAAAAGATCGTACATTCAAAAAATTGTTCTTAAAACTTTTAATTTTACGGTGAAACGATAAACGTCAAAAACTTTCATATTAAATGTAAATTCGTTTCATAACATTCATACGGTACGTTCCATAAAATAATTAATATTTGTAATTCTTCACCGTCGCTGTTGCTGGTTCCAAATATTAAAAAAAATACATTTATTACAAGAACCCAGCAATTTAAATTCATTAAATATTACTATTAAAATTATTATAAAAATAAAATTGATTTTATAAATCGATTCAATGTAACGATCATCTATCTCAGATACGATTACATAAATAAATATAAAATTTACGCGTTCATGATTTTTATTAAGTACTTATACGTATATGTATATCTATTCGAATCCAACATTATTATCATCCCAAGAATGATAATTATGAAATTACATAAGTCTACATTATATTATATACGTTGTTACTTAGCAATTAATATTTGCCGCTTAATAAATTAAATTAAATCATTCCCATTAAATGTGACTTCGTCAAAAAAAAATTGCAACTATCCAGTAATATATCTGGAAATAATTCGCATTTACAGATATTAAAAATGTTATATATGCCTAAAAAAATATCCTTTTCATTTATTACACGCCTGCCAGATCTAGCTAGCTAAAAAGATTGAGCTCTTACGTATCCTTTCCAACTTCAGACAATTTAACAGTCAGCGTATAACCGTGCGTCAAAAATGCACTGCAGTCATGAACATCACGAATAGACTTAAGCTTAGTTCAGCTGTACAGCCATAGCGTTCGCGCATCCCATTAACTCATTATAGGACAAAATCCCAGATGCCATCTAACAGTACCATCCGCGTTACGGTAAACTGTAAAGCTCATTTGACAGCATATTAGCATTGTTTTGCGGGTATTAAAAAATTATTTAAAAGCAGCGAGCAACTTTTAATTACTTCAGTATTATCAGGTTGGAACACAATAATATAACTTTTTGAAAAAAAAAACTTTTTCTAATATCTTTCCTAAAGAGCAAATAAAATTTCAATTAACTCCTAGAAACTTCCAACAGCTTCCCTATCGAGTGAGACTGATCTCGAAAAAGTTGTCAGATAATTATTTTCCAACCTAACAAATACATAAATTTTGTAGAAATTCTTGAAAAAAATGTACGTTTCGATCTCTCACTTGATTCCATATTTTCCCGCTTGTTTAATCACGACTCATCCTCCGTCACATAAGATTTGCTGATTTCGCAAAATATTTTATGCGGATTCTGCACTAGCGAAATACTTAATAAATTAGTAATACTTCTTATCACGATTATGTAACATCGCTACGTTCCATGACTCATCGCGTACGTGCCTAACTGTTGATACGTCGACATAAAATAGCAACGATGCCATTTCACCTGCCGGTTTTTTGGAATTATTCACGAGGTTGGAGACACGCGATAGTACAGTGAATTATATTTAGAATAGCTCCAGACACGTTTACCGTATCAATCGCCGAATCGTTTGATAAAAAGGAAAAAAAGTAAGAGCAAATATAAAAACAAACTTGGACTTCGAGATATGGAAGGCTATAGAAGGTTTCTGTATGAAGCGTAGAAAAAAAAAAATTTTTGTGGTTATGGTACATTGCGTGCTAAGTCATCTATATCGGTTACGTAATGGGAGTTGACCTGATTAAACATTAGTAAAAAAACCAGGTAAATCAGGCTACTACAAAGTCACTTCCCTCGAATATACTTTTTTGCTACCCATGCTGCTAAAAAATTTTGCTACAATATACGGAACATACAGAGTTCAGTATATAAGTAAGAAGGATGCTGGAAAATTACAAAATTTTAATATCAACCTAACGAGTTCTTGACTAATTTGCAACAAGGCACAAAAGACACGCAAACAGCAAGTACAGTGTACTATACCGTATGCGTATAGAATTGATGAACTTTTCGACACAAAGAGTAGTCCAGATATCCAGGTAAGTAGAAGGGATTCAGGATCTACTACCTTGTTGAATGATGCAAAGTCCGTTTGAATCGTTGAAGCTTTATTAAAATCCGCATAAGAATGATTAGTTCGAAGCAAGAAATACTGTCGTCTGCACTCTGGGAGAGCATTGACTGGTTTGGTCATGACCCAGATTGAGGAGTTTACCCTTCTCCCTCCAGTGCACCGTATCTCTCTTGGCCAACGTGTGAGTAGCTGCTAAAAGCTAATCGCAAGCCACGCCAGAATCGTGAGCGGTTGCAGAGCGACAGCTCTCTATTCGCAAGGGACCTTATTCCATTCGAAAGTAACGTTCTCGGTTGGGCCGTCGTTCCGATCAGAGAGAATCCCTAGAGCCGAGATACACTATACGCATTAGTTCAGCTATATTCAACCACTGACTACTTACATGCTTGTTCTATTCTGCCACTCCCCATTTGCCCCACCGATGAAGAACTAACGTCAGCTACAGCCACCGAGCCCAGATAGGTTTCTTTACTTTCGATTTGCTCTCACTACTACCTTTCGTAGTACGTCGTCTCGGCCCATCCCTGAGAGCCTGTAGGCCTGGTAAACAACTTAGTTGTTGGATACTCCCATTCTCATGGTTAAAAAATACAAGGGTGCATCGTACGCAAATCTTTTGTTTTCTAAGATCAAAGACAATTATACTCCTGTTGATAAAAATTTGTCAATAGTATTCGCTCTTTCAAATTATTCTCAAGTACACCTTTTCTCGTCTCCGCGAATATATTTGAGCTTGAAAATTTTTAGAAATTCACATTTCGCTCGTTACAAGTAACAAACAGTTAACCTCAAAATGCTCTCTTTTCCGTTCCTCGTGACTTATCCGCGTAACAGACTCCTACAAAATAATCTCACGTTGCGTCTTCACCGTCAATTGAATGTAGTGCTTGGTACAGATCTGTTAGGGACAAGATGAATCTTGAAGCTCGCAATTTCTTCAGCCGTGTCTCATTGGGCCGCTCGTTGCCTCGCGAGGGACGAGGCATCGTAACCTTAAAACATCCAGCGGTACGACAGCTACCAATTCTGTCGTAATAATATTCAGGCTTTTCACACAAAACACCCGGTATATCAGAGCCTGTCTAACGTTACGTAAACTTAAACGAACGCCACTCCTCTGGCAACGGTTCACCAGAGTTCACGTTGTGCTCTCTGCAAAGCCCGACCTACACAACTCTATTCGAAGCCGTGCGTCTACGCAACGCATAGACGCACCACACGCTGGCAACGTAATGCGGACTGTTAGAAACCAAGAGACTCGTGAACCCTCCCTGTTTTCACGCTAGCATCTAGTCATACGACTTTGTACTGTGCTTCGTTCTTAGTACCAATCTCCGGATACTCCAAGCATGAGATTCGTTGAAGAAACTAAAAAACATTATTCTCTACACTAAGTAAAACATTGCAAGTAGGAATGGGTATTTGAGTGGAATAAAGGAAAGACGGCATCTTATTAAATCCTCTTTTTTATTTTTTTCGTCACTTCTACTGTAAATATTACAAATTAGAAATAACATCACATAGTACATAGTTTTATATTTAATACAAAAGATATTGCAAAGAGTCGTTCGATCACTATGAGTTACGTTTACAAAATTGTATACGTCGCGAATTCATCAAAGCTTTCATTCGCTTTTTTACATTCTTTTTTTCCTATCCGTTTTGAGTCTCGAACATTCAAAGTTTCCTTTCGAGGTAACAGAACGGTTTAAAAGAAAAATAGTTCAGCGGCCTTTAGGTACACGCAGTGCCCGCGTGCACCTCGTTATTTGTGGCTCGCATTTCGACGGTTCTTGCCTTAGCGCACTTGTACGCGTTGAGATCAGCTTAGTCTCTTTGGTGTTTTTTTTAATTTTTCTTTTTCTCCAAAATACTAACGGTTGCCTTCAAATGGTCAGAAACTGTAATCGTCAAAGAAAAGCTATTCAAACTTCGTGTCTCGATGTTCGTGCTTTTACGATTTTTTCAATCTCGGCCTTTCACTTCTTTTTCCCAGTTAACAAAACAAATATATATACTGACAAAGGATGACGGGCAAAGTACCAAAGAGCCAATTAACAAAATTACTGTCGCATGGTCATACAATATTTTACGGAGCAAAACCACTCTGATAAACAAACTTTCAACTCTAAACAATTCAATTTCGAATTACTAAATCAATGAAAATATCCCCTTTTTCCCAAGTTGTGCACGAGTTACGAGGTGTCATGGAAGTATTATTACACAAGGCCCATTGTGTGTTATTGGGAAAATTAACAAGAAGCCAATGACGAGACGACTAAATAATTTTTTTTTTTAATCACCAAGTAGACTTCATTCGTACAATCATTTGTCCTGTCTGTTTGTCTCCCTTCTTCAATTATTATTTTTTTTTTGTATATCATATCTGCACGTGTCACGCTATCTCAGCCAATCATCAGTCTCGAACTGAAACCAGGTATACTCGCGACTGTAGCTTTGTAATATAAAATTCATGACTGAAGACTGGCGCGCAATCATTTATACAATATATATCATCGCATATACAACAAACACAGACGTCAAAATACTTTTATATATATATATATATATACACATGTATAATATATATATACCGTAATGATAATTATTATAACTTGCGATGAATTAAATACCTTTACACAAACTTTTTTTTTCACCTTTTTTTTCTTCCGCTTTTCATTAGAACTTCTTCAACTCAGTATAAAATATACATAATGGTATCTCATACTTTGTTTTTTTTTTTTCTACATAATCATATTGATATAAGATCACATGTGTATGTTTTTAACGTTAGGCGTAATCGTTCACGATCTAGACAACACATGATCGACGCCCCGCGAATCGTCCAGATCGTGAAATCATCTAGATTTACAATCTAGATAAACACCCTACATAGCCAACCGGCAATTTAGCGTACAGCCTCTCAGCCTCCGTTACCTTTTCGTAATTGCCTTAATACTTTTGTACGTTCGTAATTTGCTTTTTTCTCAAACTTTGAGCATCGACGAATCTTGCTGACTTTGCATCATGCACATTGGCTTTTTAATTGATCAAGGTTGTTATATATACAGTTCGAATATATAATCGAAACCGACAGGAACAGATTTGAGATTAAAAAAAAAAAAAGATAATTTAATCACGAACGTACGCCATACAGGGCTACTACGTACGTACAACAATTTAAAATAATCCTGACATAAGAAAAATGACGGACCGCTGTCATTTCTTTAATGTAGGTTCTTCTATCTCAACATACGATTCCTCTACCTCATAAGCTTTTGCTTATTGCCCGACGAAGAAATTGTGGCTGTACACTTAATCGCACAGCTCTAAACTTAAAACTTACATTAATCACACTTGCTTTTTTTTTAATATCACAATACCACCAGTGGAGGGGAAGAGGGGGGGGGGGCGCGCGGGCGCTTGATGTTATATGACAATATCATCTAATCCCCTGGAGGAGGCGGACAAAATTCATATGTAAATCCATATAATGGACAGATAAAAAAGAAAGAGACAAACTTTTACAAATTTCGAGACTTTTCGCAAGAGTTGTAGGTAATGCACGAACAGGAATATTATAAATCAAAGCATCCGGGGTCAATTCGTTCGTTCGTTCGCGTCTCGTACAATTCTCTCGGTTTTCCACGAAATATCTCGGGCAATGCAATTTGTTTCTTTGACACTGGGTATATATCTCTTATCGAATCCACAGGTACAACTTAGTTTATTATACTCCTTTTGTTTGTTTGTATGCACTCGTTACCCAAAAAAACTAGTTCGTTACAGTCTAGGCGACAGCGACTGATTCGATGGTAGAAAAAATAAAATGCCCTTTCGTAACAGGCTAAAGTTAATAATGGATGTTTGGCCTAAGTACCGGCTTTGACAGACGGAAATTGATGAACGAAATGTGATATGGGAATATCGGCGATGCCGGTGCGCAGAGAAAGCAAAGAAAAAATGCGAGGATATCCTGATGCAACGGGCACGAATTGATTTTATAAAAGCGAAGAAAAAAAAAAAAAAACAAGAATTTACTTGAAACGCGGAAATGTTTTAAGATTTTTGTTTTCTCTGTCTCTTGCTTGTTTAATAATTAAAGCACGATATTAGCAGCCGTAATGAACACGCGTGTCACTCTCTTGGTGTATATGCAATTCAGAGCTTCGTGGGTGCGTGTTTTATAAAGAACTCGCGTAGGGCATGCAGGGGCCCACGCATTTTAATATATATATAATATATATATATATATATATATATATATATACTATGTGTGATTGTGTACAGATATATATTTCCTGTGTACTATGTAGGCAGCGGGTATTGATACTATACGAGGGACATTGAAAAGGGACAATGGATGGTGGTCCACACGACCTGTACTAGAGAGAGAGAAACTAAGTCTAACCCTAATCTACACTGTAATCTATTCAATTCAATATATCACTAATCAATAATAAAACATTTCCTAATACTAATATCCTACATATCACGTGAAAATTTGTTAGAAGTCTTAATGATGCATCTTCGTCAATGAAGACAGATTCCTCTTCTTAGAAGAGCTACACATGTTATAATTTGTTTTCTCGCTATCACAATATACTTGTTTGCCCGCTTCCATTTTTTTTTGCTTTTCTTTGATCTTAGATTAAACGTTTAACTGTCTCCATTACTACTTTCTTCTCCCCCCGCCGTTTCCTATCAGTTCGTACATCCTAACCTTGCACAATCTAGGTTCTTTTTTTCTCTTTCCTTTGCACCAGCTTCATTCGACATCGCAAATTTCTTTGCAGTCGATGACAATAGACATTTGAAAAAAGAAATGACAAATCATTTCAGACTTATACGAACGCCGATCTAGCTGCTGTACTATCTGCTCCGTTTTAATCGGCCGTGCATTTAATCACGATCTTGCACTTGTGTATGAATTTACGTACTGAAGCGTCTAGATGGTAAATCCGTGTGTCATATCTAACAAACGTATAGAGACTTTTCGAAAGTGTTAAGAGAAAACAATTAGTTGATGAACTTTTAAAATGCATAATACCATCGAATCGAAACTGCAGTCTCACACCTATTTTCTCTCTCCATTTTTTTGTTTTTATCAGCGGTCTGCATACCTCACAAGTGGGATGTCTTCAACGATGGGCAGTCTGCATCAGACGTTGTCTGCGAGTAGCTACAGGCCGTGTATGTCTGCCTTTGCACAGTAACAAGGACAGGTCACGAAAAAATTGACCACTGCACATGTTCTCGCCTGCATCCTCCATCGATCAAGGAAAACGTAGTTTTCAATGGACCGAAGATCTTGCAGTTTTGAGAGTTGTAAAGTAATGGACCCACGAGAGGAAAATTGATTTGGTCCTTCAATGGTCTTGCTGCTGGTACGACCTGTACAATTTCTTCTTTTCAAGGGTGAAATCTCGGCTGATCATTATGGTACCGCCGCGAGTGAGATTTCTGTAAGAAACAAAAATATTTCACTCATTAGAAGTGTTCACAGTGTGAAATGTAATTTGAAAAAAAATAATCCTCGCCAAAAACAAAAGCAGGCACTAATACGGCGTGGGATCTTTTGTTTTCAGAAAATTATTTTTATTTATTTAAACTAGTTTGAATTTCAAATCGATCGAGGAAATATACTCACTTGAGGAACTGAGGAAGAAGTATATGCCATGATGTGTGATCTTGCTTAAGTGTTAAGTAAAGCTCGAATGTGGAAACGGCGCTTGGATCGCACTGTATCCTGGAGAGCTTGCGGCACATACTGTCGGTCTCGAAGCTGATGAAGAGCGTGCAGCCTCTGTAATAATAAAAAAATAGGAAAAAAATAAGTACGGAAGATTACAAATGACACCGGTTACTAGTAACAAAGCTGGCAAATCGTAACTGGTTTTTTTTTTCGTGGATCATTCGTGTACCGCAAACGCCAATTAAGATAGCACAGTTTGAATGAAGGTTCGAGAATTCTCAGATAAGAAAACAAAATAAATTAACTAAAAAGCATGAAATGTATTCTCACCTGAGACCGCAAGGCTCGTTTTCAGCCATGGCGAGGACGTCTTTTGCTATCCGGGGTAAGAGATCTGCAGGAAGCAGGACCTCACCACAGGCAAGCTGTGCGTGCTTGGCCGCCCTCAGCTCAACCTCCAACCTCTTTGCCAAGGCCTGACAAGCTCCATCCAATTCGTCCGTTACAGTTCCAGCTGCAATGCACGCGAGAAAATCCCATTAATTAATATATTGGCTCAAAGTTGATGATATAAGGTAGGGATGCAATAAGCTGTCAAATTCAAAGAGACGGAACCGATATTTTATTTAAAAAAAAAAGAAAAAAGAAATAATACTAAACTCTGTTAAATCAAGAATAATTGACATGTATCGCTACCGGTAATTAGGTAAGAGGAGTCTTTTTCAGAAAGGGTCATAATGGATGCTGTCATGATGCAACAGCTCTCGAAATTTCGATATAACGATACGAACTAATAAAAGTTACACGTACACGAAAATAGATACCATTAAAAAGATATCATATAAAACTTTTAATTTTGCAATAAAGAATAGAAAAATCAGTATATCTCTGAGAAAAGACGATTCAATTGAATATCAGCTGATCCCGTGAGTCAGCTGAGTAGCCGGCAAGAAAAGGAAGAGATGCCGGCGTCTCACTGCTAATTTCTTCTTCGAATTATTCTTCGTTATTGAAGGAAAATTAAAGAGAATCCGTTTTTTCTCTCGAACATTAAGTAAAACCTTAAAATATTAAGTATAAAGAGTCGACGAGGAATATGATAAAGGACAAAGAGAAAACGACGAAAGAAATTTCTATATAATTTTACGAGTGAAAGCAGAGAACATTGTCACCGGTCATTTGTATACCGTACCTCTGTTGTTGCTGAAATTTACGTTGACCGGACACGGTAGCACCTCCATTATCGGTTATTATCGATGCTTGTAAAAAAACACGTCTCGAAATATTATCAAGCACACAGTCCCTTAGCACGGTGTGAACTTGGCGAAAACTTATTGAAATCGGCGATACGCGTTCTGTCCCGTGATTACACGTAACAAAAGATTGTTCTCATGTAGCGAACCGGCGACTCTCGTCAGTAACTTAAAGCGACGCGTCGTTTCATCTACACGACTTTCGAACAACTGATTCGCCGGCACCGATGACGCGACTTATATACTAGCATACCCTCCTCTACTGCTACCGGCTCCCACCAGGCCGCCTAGCAACACCGGCTACGTGATGTCTCGCAGTAACTTCGGCTTCGGCTTTTCCCGTTGCAACTCGGTTCCGCTCGTACCACTGGCCAGGGGAGTTCGGAGCGCCCATCGCCCTACCGGTTTGTGACACAACGACCGGATAACTTTTTTTTTCTCTTTCTCTCCTCTGCTTTTCATTTTCATCCATTTCTCCATGGCCTCTCAGCTGTGCGCCACTATACATCCTATACCCATCACGGCTGTAGCCATTTCAGTTCGGGCACTCTGGCAAGGACACGTTTACGCGATACATTACTGGAACACATGAGAAAATCGAACTCCTCTTTTCTAAGGTTATATGTATTGTATGTACGTACACACGAGTGAGTACGACTATGCGTGCGATGTTTCTTTGTTTCACGTTTCGTAGGTATAAACGCGTGATATGTATACTTACCCCATGCAGTGGAGTATCTATAGACGTTGCCGTAATAGCTTCGTGGGATTTCCACCACCGCTGACTTTTTTTTTTATCCCTGCCAGGGCCTGTCCAACTTCCCGTTCTCGTTACACGCTGTTTTACAGCCCAGTAATACTGTGTTCTTTATTCCTCATAGCGAAGACTCAGGGCTCTTTGTGTAATCTACTGTCACCACGTAAACTCGTTGCATCATCCTGTAGAATAATTTTGGCGACGATCGTTGCCGACTCGGCTGTTGTCTCTGGTAACAACTGTTAACTTACATATAAGTTGCCTCAGCCTTGTTTAACGATTTATTTGATTTTGTTACGAGATAGTATGCATGTATATATGTAACATGATTCATTTTTATAATGAAAGAATTCATAAAAAGAGAACCAATCGTTCGATTAATCGATTGACACAAGTACGATGAGGGAAAAGTGTGATTAAATTTTAGAATGATAATAAAATTTACCGGTAAAGTAATTATTTCATGTCTATTTTATAATGAAAGAAAATTTACTTTTTTTTCCTTTGTCATGGGATTTTCTTTGTCCTCTCGTTTTGGTTCTACCCTCTCGTTTTACTTCTCCTTCTCCTCTATATACCCCCACTTCGAGTCCTACAGAGCCCCTCTACCCACCCAACTAGGCAGTTTCTTTGTCTTCGTTCATCCTCTTCCTTCAACGTATAATCCCCTCTCTCGCTCGTCAACAGCTGTACGACGCGAATGGATGTCAGCGCGAACGCTGTATAATTCGGCAGATGCAATTTTCCTGTTATTTAGCTAAACTTTTAGAAAATTGAAAGACACATACCAAATAAATTATTACGAATTTCGATCTGAGAATTATTATTCTTATTAATACTTTTGAGAAGTTAATATTTTTCAAGAATTATATATGTATATATGTATACCTGGCTGTATGATATAAATTATTTATTATATGTTTTAACCATTATACTGAGGGTACGTTTCGAAACCCAGCTACAGTTGCGGTTAACGAATTTCATCCAATCAAATTCATTGGTTTATGTCATCCACCAGTCATATATAGAAAACCTAACGACGCTTCAGTTACAGAATAAGCCCTAAATTAAATTGGATTAGTTCTGTCGTCTCTTCTTTTCTTTTGTTGTACTCTTAGTTCGTCTATTTTTATTCCGTTTCTATTCGCTGTTCTATCCTTTTTTTTCCTCTCGTTTTCCGCCAGCGAGCTGCCTTAGCGGTTGTTTTTTAAATCGTTCTAGTTCCTAGTCGAATCCGACGGATGTGTATCGATAGCTAGTAGTACTAGTTACACTTTCAAGGATACCTGTATGTACATTGACTACCCGTCCATCAATGCAGAATTTAAGTAAATTAACCAATCATGTTAAACATTTGAGAAGGATACACAAATATTATTCTCAAATGTTGTGCGTGATTAGTTAATCCTACTTAGAGCCTTCACGATGGAAACCTAGTCATTGTTGGACCTTAATATAATGGCAAAGCAGAACCTCTAAATGTTAAGTAAAATTGACGAGTTTATGAGTACGAATCTTAGCACCTCAACGAAAATTGAAAAAATCTTTATAACTACATGACTGTCTACTTACGGCAACTCTCTATTTCGGAGGCAGTAGTGAAAGAAAATTAGGGGGGGG